AGGCGCTGTGAGGCAGCGGGGCAGTCCCGCCAAGCTGCCCGCCGCCCGTCCCCGGCACCTCTCCCGGGGATTAAAGATAACGTGTGGGGTGTTGCGCCCTCAAAACACCGTTATTAAAAAACCCACCAAAACCCACCTCAGTGCTACAAGCATTTATGCACTTAGGGGTGAGGGGGTGGGTATGGATGGGCCCCGGGGGAATATGGTGGTGGGCTGGCCGAGAAGTGTGGGGAGCCCGGGGAGGAGAGGCAGGCTGAGGGTGGGACAGGCTGGGCAGCGAGGGGGTGCCCTCCTTCGCCAAGGCCTGGAGGAAGGTTGGGGACACAGCTGAGGGGGATACGGGAGAGGGGGAGAGCACCCAGGTGTGCAAGGAGGGCCCCCATTGCGGTGGTCGCTGGCCATGCTTGCCAGAGGCCAAAACCACGTGCGGATGGAGGGAGGAGAAGGTCAGGGCCGTCTCCTGCAGCACCCAGAAGGCACAGGTTGGGTTTGGGTTGGGTTTTTTTCTTTTTTTAACAGGTGGGTTGGTGCCACAGGAGGTACATGTTGGTTATGGGGCAGGGTCTAGCCACAGGCCCAGGGAGGCCTGGCTGGGGCCGCGCTGCTGCGGCCGGAGCTGCCTGTCCAGCAAAGCACAACTCCCTCCTCTTCAGCGTGTGAGCACCCCTAGAGAGCCGAATCTGCCCCCGGGATTTGCAGTTTCCTGCCCTAGCCGTGATCTTTCCGCTGCAGGATGAGGAACAGAGGTAGGTCAGGGCTGGGAAGGCAAAGCTGAAATCACTACTCAAGAACATGTGAGATTTCTGGGATTCCTTCATAGCTGTACAAAACGCCAAAAAATGTATCTTAGAAGTCCAGGAATTGAAGGTGATTTTAACTGGTCATCTTAGTGCTTCAAAGGATGCTGTTTGCTGGTAATTGCTCTTAAGCACCCTGTGGTTCTAAGGAACAGTAAGATGAAAAGTCAATAAAAAACTTACGTTTTACAAGGGAAATATCAATCTTAGGGTTTCTTTAACAGTGTAATATTATTAAACAAGCACTCCTTTAATATTATTTTAGGTTCTACTTGGTAAAATCTTACTTATTTAGGATGAAAGATCATGCATCTCCTTTCTCACTTGCATTCAGCTAAGTGGCTGCCATTGTAACTTCAGATCCTGGGAAACTGGTTTTGTCCCGTTAGTTCTGTCACAGTCTTTCGCAAGGATTCAGCACTTATTTTAAGGTTTAAACAAAATAATCTAGCTTTCACATGTCCTGCCACTAATACATAATATCGATGAAGATTTGTATTTCACACAACAAATTTTGCAGGTTTGCTGG